AAATGGGGAAGAGAAGGGACAGGACGGTCCCTGGAGCTAGGCTAGAATAGAGTTGGAAGGGACCCTGGAGGTCCTCCAGTCCAACCCCTGCTCAGGCAGGAGACCTTAAACCATTCCAGAAGTGGGGCTGCCCAGCCTCTTCTTGAAAGCCTCCAGGGATGAAGCCCCACCACTTCGGGTTCCACTGGTTCCTTGTCCTCACTGTTAGGAACTTCCAGGTTGCTCCTCTCCTTGATTAGTTTCCATCCATGGTTTCTTGCCTTGCCTTCTGATGCGTTGGAAAATAAATGGATCCGTGTTTTTTGTGCGTTGCCAACAGGGAGAAATCAAAACGGGCCGCCTGGCCTCCAGAGCTTAGACTCCCCTCAGCAAAAATCTGTTGAAATGCTCCTATTCAACTGGGATCAAGATACGGCGGTCCTTGACTTATGACCGTTCCTTTAGTGACCGGCTTAAGTTAAAACAGCCCTGAAAAATGTGATTCACGACCATTCTCCACACTTACTACCATTGCAGCAGCCCTGAGGCCACGCGATCAAAACTTTAGGCACCCATCAACTAACCCGGTTTTCCTCCTGTCCTGGTTACCGACTGGTTGGTTCCCTTTAATGGGTTAAACCTCAAAGTGAACTTTGCCAGGCACAGGAAGGCAGACCGGGGCCAACCCGAACGGAGGACGCTGGCAGAAACTGTGCGCTTAGAATTGCAAGGTTTGTCGCTGGCCGGGTTTAGAATGGAATAACAGAGTTGGAAGGGACCTCGGAGGTCTTCTAGTCCAACCCCCTGCTCAGGCAGGAAACCCTACAACACTTCAGACAAATGGTTATCCAACATCTTAAAAACTTCCAGTGTTGGAGCATTCACAACTCCTGGAGGCAACTTCTGTTCCACTGATTAATTGTCCGCATTGTCATGAAATTTCTCCTTAGTTCTAAGTTGCTTCTCTCCTTGATTAGGTTGTGGGAATGCGGGCTTGACTTGACAAGAGAGAAAGGGGGGGAGAACCAACTGTTGCACTTACTTTGTTGATTTCCTCCAACCTGCCTTCTTGTTCAGCTTTCAGCAAACGAAACGCTTTCCCCCCTGCGGGAAAAGTCAAGAAAAAACTAATCACAAAGGAGGAAAAAATGGAATATTTTTCTCAGATAGCATTTATTTACCAGCGCAATGGGATTTGATATTTCCCCCCCCCCATCTAGTGGGGAAGGGGGCTTCCTTTCAACCCCAAAGAGAGAGAGGGGGGGGGAGGGAGAGAGAGAGAGAAGTTTCTTGGGTAGATTCCCCTGTCTCAAAAGTCGTAGCCTTAAAGGAAAAAGAGAAGAGGAGGGAGAAGGAAACAGCAAAGCTCCTTGAGCCTTTCTTTTGCAAAAGAGGAAAGTGGGTGGGGGGGGGGGTTTGAAGCTGTGTCCCAGGGGAATTAAAAGGACCCCCCCCTCCCTCCTTCCGTTCACAACAAGCAATTTTGCGTGTCTGGAAAGCAACTGAAGCAACTTTGGGCGTTTTCTTCCAACACCACCACCAACACCCATTTCCCGCAGGGGACCCTCACCGCCTACCTTGGCGGGCATTGTTGAGCATCACAGACATGGTGGGATGCTGGTGGCCGGTGCTGGAGGGTGGGGGGGACGGGGACGGGGACGGGCTGCAAGCTCTCCCCTCGCCCTTTGCTCCGCTGCTTTGCTCCCGTCCGCCGCTGCCGCCGCCAAGCGGAGAGGGAGCGGGACTTTTGTGAGCTTAAGCCAGCCCATTTCTCTTCAATGAAGCCATTCAGAAGCCAGGGGGGTTGAGCGGCGGTCCCTCGGCTGCGATTGGGGGAAGGAAGGCTCTGCAAGGGCTCAGCGCCCCACGGCTGCAGGGGCCTCCCTCCCCCGCCCTGCCCTTGCACAGCGAGCTGGCAAGTTAACCCCTTCCTCGGTCGTGCCACGGACGCCCCTCTGCGGGCATTGGCAGAGGGTTGTCGGAATCAGGGACTTGGGATCAGGAAGGCTGGAGTCACACATTAGATAAGGCAGCTGGAGGTTGAGTTGAATACCACACAAGCCTCGCGTTGCGCCCAGGTAAATCTAGAACCAAGCTGAAAGCCAGAACTCGGGAGAAGTTTCCCCTCAGGGACAACAATCAATCGGTGGGAGAGAAGTTGCCTTCTGAAGTTCCGGGGGGCTCCGAGGGCACTGGAGGTTTTCAAGGAGAGATTGGACAGCCGCTTGTATGAAATGGTAAAGGGTTGGACTAGAAAACCTCCAAGGTCCCTTCCAACTTTGTTATATTGCTAACTTTCCTTGCCCTGGGAAATGGTGGGAAACTGCCCCTCTGCTGTGTGTGACGAGGTGTGGATTGAGGTGTGAAGGCAGACCCAAGGAAGGAAGGAAAGAAGGAAGGAGGGAGGGAGGGGAGGGAAGGGAAGGGAAGGGAAAAGAAAGGAAGCTGCAGGAAGGGAACAGAGCTGAGAGAAGGAAGGGGAAAAAATAAAAGGAATGAATATAGAAGGAATGGGACGGGTGGGAAGAAAGGAAGAAGAAAATGAAAAAAGGGAGAGAAGGAAGGAAGGAAAAAAGATGAGAGAGATGGAAGAAAGGAAGAAAGATGAAAAATTAGAGAAAGAATGAGAGAGGAAAAGAGAGAAGGAAGGACAGAAGGACAGACGAAGAAAGAGATAAAAGGGAGGGAGGGAGAGAAAGAAGGAAGGAAAGAAAGAGTGAGGGAAAGAAAGAAAGAAAGAGGTTCATCCCTGCTCTATTCTGCTTTCAAATTTCCTGGGAAGAATTATTTTTTGGTTCAGAAAGGCAACCAAACAGGCGGGGGACCACTGGGGGGGGGGGCAGGGCCTTCCCAGGGACCTCCACCCACTTGGCTTAAGCCAAGATTCTGAATCACCGCCTGATGATCCACAGCATTCCTGGAGAGGTTTGTCAACTTTGCCGAGGACGGAGAGAGCAGCCGGGGGTCTCTTCCCTCCTGCCCATCACGTGGCTCCCCTTGCAGACCCAGTGGGCTGAATCAGGATTTCCCTCTTCCCTCCCAAGAGCCCCCTAGCCTTTCTCCCCCTTTTCAACGGTCAGCCTAATATCTTTGCTTCATTAAAGGTAAGGATTCCCCTCGCACATACGTGCTAGTCGTACCCAACTCTAGGGGGCGGTGCTCAACTCTGTTTCAAATCCGAAGAGCCAGCGCTGTCCGAAGACGTCTCCGTAGTCATGACTCAACGCCGAAGGCGCACGGAACGCTGTTCCCTTCCCACCAAAGGTGGTTCCTCTTTTTTCTACTTGCATTTTTACATGCTTTTGAACTGCTAGGTTGGCAGAAGCCGGGACGAGTCACGGGAGCTCACTCCGTTATGCAGCGCTAGGGGTTTGATCCGCCAAACTGCCAATCTTTATGATCGACAAGCTGAGCGTCTTAGCCACTGAGCCACCGAATAACTTTAACAGTCAAATTTTCAAATATCACTTCCATTCACCCTCGTCCTTTTCTTCCCCTCTTCTTGATGCGGGTGGAAAAGGAGAGAGCAAAAGTTGGCTTGAAACTCAACATTAAGAAAACTAAGATCATGGCATACGGCTCTCTCAATTCCTGGCAATTAGATGGGGGAGAAATGAAGGGAGTGACAGATTTTATTTTCCTGGGCTCAAAGATCACCGCAGATGGGGACGGCAGCCAAGAAGTGAAGAGACGCTTGATGCTAGGGAGGAAAGTGAGGGCCAAAGGAAGGCTGAGGGCCAAAGAACGGAGGCCTTTGAACTCTGGTGCTGGAGAAGAAGACTCCTGCATTGAGTCCCTTGGAC